GCTTGCGGGCCGTGGGGCAGGCGAGGCCGCTGTGGGGGGAGCGTGAAGGGGTTTGGGGGGCAGCAGTGGGGACGGGGCTCCCTGTGCCTTAGCACACTCCGTGCGTGGGCTTCTAAATGATTCAGCGTCAGGTCTTCTTCCAGAGAACGTATCTCTTTCTCTTCTGCCTTCTATTTTTCTTTCTTTTTTTTTTTTCTTAGTGTGAACTGAAGGAGGGGTTAAATCACTGCCTCCCTTTCCCTTATGGAACTGAAACTCTTTCTTTAAATGTTCCCTAATACATACATCAATAACAGCCTTTTTTGTTTCTGAATGCCTGCAAGGAAAATGATCTAAAACAAACGCGCATGAGGGTTAGAGGTGGGGGTAAAAGCGCTCTTTCATCTCATTACAGTATGGTTAGAAGAGTTGTCCATGATATGGAGCAAATTTTCCTATTTAAAGGGAATTTTATTCCCTTTATAAGAAATGTTTACATACGCATAAAATAAGAAAACATGTATTATAAGAAGACGTCTTGTTAGAGGCTGTTCTGGGGCTAGATACTTGCTTTGTTCTGTTCTGTATAATTAAGCATTTGACTACATTATAAACTGGATGCTGCATCTCAGTTGACTTTCCTAACGCAAATCTGAGGATCAGTTTTGTTCTGTTCAGTAATCGGATGAGTATTTTATATAAAAAGGAATTCCTCCAGCAGGGGGGGTTGAGGTGCTTACTGTACTCTGAAAATCTCCCGTGACTGTGACTTTGTTAGGCAACTTCCCCAGGATTCTGACAGACCTACCTTCAGTTTTATTCTCCTTGATTTGGGGCAGGAATCTGTTCCAAAATGAGTGGCCCGGTCACAAGATTGTGGGCCGTTCTGGCATAAATCAGATTTACAGTGGGATTCTTAAGTAAATACCCTTCTTTTGAGATATTTCTATATATTATTCGGTGGTTCTGTGAATAGCTCTGAGGTGATAAAATTTTACTGTTCACAAAACATTTTCTGTGTATTTTTATGGCAGTGGAATCTGTGGATAAGAAGGCGGCTGCGTAGGTAGAAGGGGATGACAGTTTGAAGGAGAAGTTTTGTGTTGGGGTGTGAGGGCTGTAGGTGACTAATAAATGTGTGGAGCAAAAGAGCTGTATATGGAAAAACATCTTTGTGTGTGGAAGGAGGCTGAATCTGTGCATGTGTGAACACATCCGTGTAGGATAAGTGCAATATTTGAGTTGGGATCCAGTCTGTGATAACTGGACAACATCTGCCACACGATTTGTCAAAGCTGCTTAATAATCTGCCTAGAAACTAACGCTGCGTGCGTTTGTAATGCTTTGCAGCCCGGAATGATTCACCCATTCTGTATCATATCTCACAAAGTAACTGATGTAACATGAAGAAAATCCAAAACTTGGGGAACTTGAAGAGCAAAGAATTTTAACTCGCTTGTGTTGTAAATTGTCAGGGTGTTTGACAGACAGTTTGCCTTGGTGGGGTGTGCTACAGAGGGTTTTTTCAGGAAAAAAAGGGAAAAGCTCTACGCTTCGCTTACAAATATTGTGATTCTTCCACATTATAGTAATCACAAGAGAACTGTCCTGTTACTGTTGGGTTTAAGGTCCTGTGATACCAGTGGGGCAGTCAAACTGCTTAGTGGATTTGGGTAATTGACTGCCTTGTTAATAGAGTGGTTGGAGAATGCAAACGCAGTACACGCTTACAGTCTGGTAAATCACTGAATTTCGAACTTGTTGATAAATTATGTCTCTTTTTTTTTTCTTTTCCTCCCTTTCTAAGATATTACGCGTATCTTCAGCAAGCTCAAGCTTTTTACACGTTCCCGTTCCCTCAAATGCTGACCGCGGCGCCCACCATGGAGGTGCTGAGTGAGCAGCCCACCCTGGAGGGCGTCCCGGAGCCAAACATTGCCCAGGAGCCTCCCAAAGGTAGCGTTCCACAGCCTCGGGAATCCATCGGGGAAGAAAAACTATGGGTCTTAAACTTAAACTTCTTTGGACATATTGGATTGCCTTTGCCTGATGCTTTGTGAGGAAGTATTGATTAATTGTATTCTTTAAGTAACATTTTTATCAATTACAAAGATAAGAAGTAAACTCAGGTGACAGTATTCACATTGTTGACAAAATCATCTTGTTGCAGGAAAAGCAGATCTCTGTTTCAATAGATAAAAATATAATTTTTAGCTGATTTCCTAGATTTTGATATGACATCAGTGAAGTTTTCTTCTTTCAGTCTGAATTGTTTTTTTTTTTTAATTTCTGCAGAAGTACAGTATATTACTGTTTATTTGAAATATTTTTGTTTAAATGATGGTTTAGGGTGTTGTAGTACTGATGAATAGTTAATTGCTTATACACACTAAGAATTGCATGGTTTTAGAAAGGCTTATTTAAACAAATACGAACAGTGCTGGAAAGTGTCCTGTATGTGACACAAGTGTTGTACTTTATGTGCTTGTACGTTGCTTTTCTTTTCCCCCACTAGGATTTTAAATGCTTAGGCTTTACACTAACCGTGCCAAGAAAAGATCCCTTGTTCTGTTGCTCTTATGCTTGCTCTTTACCACATAAAAAAGGCAGTGATCTCTGCCATGCTTAAATTCTGATTCTATAGCAAATATTCACACACTGAGTTTCATCTTGCTTTTAATATTTAGAGAAGAGGTCAGAGCTCTCTGTGCCAAGGCAACCTATCAGCCAGTTCATGCGATGACATTGCTTGTTTAAGTGTATCCTTTGATAAGCATTTCTTTTTTTTCTCCTTTTTTTTTTTTAGTTGTAGTGCATGGCCAGAGGAAATCATAGGAACAGAATCTCCAGTTGTAGTGCATGGCAGAGGAAATCATAGGAACAGAATCTCCAGTATAAAGTAGTTGGACTGCTCAGTTCCTTCACAGAATTATTCACTACAGTTAGGATGCATCCCAAACACTATATAGTTAGGCTTCTTTTGCAGCTTTGGTATTGGATAAGATGATGTCACCATGAGTATGCTGTTTGACTCCACTTTCAAGTATTTTTGGACGACCGTAATCTTCTGTTATGAAGCTGTTCCCTAATATTTTTGCAAGAATTGGAAGTTGACTAAAGCCTTCAAAGGCAGGGCTCGAAGATTTACCGAATGTGTGTGAAATTGACAGGAGCACATACAGAAGGGAAAGATTTGGAGTCCAGCTACCTGCTCTGATGAAAAAAGTAAAGCTTTTAGGTTTGCCCTCTGAAAGGCTGCCCTGGCATTGTGCATCTCTCATGACTGTGTCAGGTTGGTAGGTACCTGATCAGCATGAGAGTCAGGAGAACATTATACTGCTTCATTTGAAATACTCCAACTTCTCTGAGCTGGTTGTATCTGTGGCATTTTGCCACCACATGAAAAGCCTAATTCTTCAAGGGGTAGGAGAGAAAAGCTGCTTATGTGCCTCACCAAGTCTGCGCCCTTCTAGTCTCTTCATTATCATTGGACTGTACTGTTGCTTACACCTTTCCTAAGCAGCTGCTCCATTGACGCAGTGGGAATTTCACATGACTTTTGTCCTTTTTGTTTGCACTCAGCTTTCTTACAAGAACAGCCTAAAAAATGCTTGCAGACTCAGGGCAGTGCCCCGGTAGCCACTATATTTATTTCTTATCTGAGGGAGAGTTTCATCTGGGAATTTTGAAAGTAAGATGAAGTCTCAATTTTAAAGTAGTAGGTTGCTGATCTTTGCTGATTGCTGCTAAATATGTTTTCATATTTTTCAAGTTGTGGTCTGCACCTTGACATTATTAATGAATAAGGACAGAGAGCAATCTCTGGATGGTCATGTCATGACCAGTACCTGTGCTGATATAAACTCTAAGCTTTAAGGGCCAGATAAGGAAGTCTCAAAATGAGTAAGCAGTGACTACTTTATGTTTGCATTTTGTAACTAAAAATTAGTATTTTGATGTTACTCATTCAAATTGAGATCCCGAAGGTCTCACATGTTACCTTGCTATATGAGGCACTGAACAGTATCTGTTCTGTAAACAATAAATTGGGAATAGCTTACATAGCATTCAGCCTGTCTTTGTGTTCCTGACAAGCTTCTATATTAAGCTGTAGGTAATCTTGGAGACCTGTTGCTTTTGACAAGCTGTTCAGTTTCTTCAATATGTTATGTAATCTGCAACAATCAACTTTCTTATTTAGAAGTTGAAGTGTGAAGAGTAGACTAGAACTTCCTGTCAGTTTCCTTGGAACTAAGATTTGATGTTCTGGCATAACCTCCATCTAAACAACACAACCCAGTCACCAGGTTATTATTGGTTTGTATCCTAAGTCAGCACTGGTGCCTGTGAGTAGGGTGTGTGTTGATGGTACAAAGACACTTAAGCTAGCTCTGTGTTGAGCCCGGAAAACGGAGATTCACCAGATAATTGTTCAAACTAATGAATTTTGAAGATAAATTTATCTGTGATATCTTTTTGTATCCATACATTTAGCTCAGTCTTTTTGAATGTCCATACATTTTTGTACATAAAGGGTATTTGCTGTGTGTTTCAGAAGTTAAAAAAGGAGGAAGGAAAAGAAAAGCCAAAGCAACTGAGCCAAAGCCACCTAAAAAGCCTGCTGCTAAGAAAGAAAAAGCTGCCAAGTCAAAAGGCAAACAAGAAAAGATCACAGATACTTTTAAAGTCAAAAGAAAAGTGGACCGTTTTAATGGCGTGTCTGAAGCGGAACTTCTGACCAAGACTTTACCTGATATTTTAACCTTTGATCTGGACATTGTAATAGTAAGTAACTCACAGTTAAAACATTAGATAGAAAAGTGAATAATCTGTACTCATTAGTTATGGTTTACATTCTTTCTGCTTACTTACCTATATTGCTTATATGACAAGATCTTGCAAGATAAAGTATATAAACTGTTTCCGGTGTGTAGAGCTGCTTTGCATTTTCTGTTAAAAATCATAGTAATGTAGTTCTAATTTCTGAGAATTCTAAGGCTTCTGTATAATACATAGACATGAGAGACCGTTGACGCTTTATTTACTGGAAGTGCTACAGCAGTGGCTGTAAAAACACCCTGTGAGCTCTCTTTTGACATTGCACATCTAAATGAGTCACTGCTATAAAATTGTCAATTTTTTAAAATAATGATGGAAGGTACCATCAACACAGTTTTGTTTATTGACAATAACTTAAAGAGAATTGAATAAATTTTCTTACTGTGCCTTGATTAAATTCCTGACTAGCAAGCCATGTTCTCATCATTACAATGGACTGGTATCTTTGTAGATTGGCATAAACCCTGGCTTGATGGCAGCTTACAAGGGACATCATTACCCTGGACCTGGAAACCATTTTTGTATGTTTTTGCTTTCCTTTCTTCTTCTAGAATTAGCAGAACTTTGTTAGAACTTGTGGCATTTTAATTAAACTGTTTGGGGTTGGGTTTTTTCTTTTTTTTTTTTTTTTTTGATGCAGAGAGGGATTTTACTTTTAACCATCCAAGAGTGATTTAAATCCCATAACTAGTCCTGTCAAATACTGTACATAAAAAAGAGAAAAAGAGGAATAATCAGTGACTTTCAATGCAGGTTTAGAATTGTCACGTAAATGCAGTATTACCAAATAACTTCTTGGTGTATTAGTATGCAACGTAAGGAATAAAAATTAAATCTCTACTACTTGAGTTATCAAGTGTAAGTCAATAGGCATCAGTTCCTGATATAAAATCAAACTACACACATTTTTCCCAAAAATGCATTTCAGCAAGCAGCTTCTTCTGTTTGCATTTATTGATTGATTCTGAACAAGCTTTCTAACTGATGAAAAAGCAAACCCCATTGCCCTTTCCCAGCAGGCATATGCATCTAGCATACCTGATTCTCCAGACAGATATTGTTCCCTAAGTGTTTTTCCATTTTAAGTAACATTTTTTGCAGCACGTTCTCGTGAAGAGAGCTCATACCTGAACTCTGTTGAAATGCTCTGTTCGCATACCGGGAGCCACTCCAGCCGTGGTAGTAGGGAGCTCCATGTGGACTAATGTGCAGCCCTGTGATCCTCCAGCCAAAATGCTTCTGGTGTCCAGCAGAGTTGTAAATCAGGCTCGGGTATTTCTCCAGTGTTCACAGACCAGCCAGACCAATGGCCTTTACCAAGAAGCAGACCAAATACGCATGGTCTGACAAATCCAGGTGTTTGTGATCTTCCTGAGTCATTAGGGACTAACTGTGGTTCATTTGTGCTTAAGAGATTGGCAGTGCACATCACCCAAACCATACTTTTATAGCCTAAAGATGAATGTAAGATGTCAGTGGGCTGTCAGAGAGGCCCAGCGCAAGGAGAAGCGAAGGTTGTAAAAGAAAGCTGACACGTATTTGCCACATTCTTTCCCACAAAACCTATGTTGATCCTAGTCACTCCCTGCTTAAGTGAATCACAAAATCTAAAGCTCTCTGATACTCATCTTTTAGAGTGAAAGACTCGTTTCCGTACATGGGATCGTGGTGAGGAATTACTGTTGCTCATTTGAGATTTTTCTGTCCTCTTGCAGTAGATAAAGTAATCTTGTCTATTTTAAACTTTTCTGGATGGGGCAGTAGTCTTCCCAAATTAACTGATGCTCTGCTAACATAGATTCTTCCTTTAGCATTCCAGTACCCTGATAGCCAAGGGTTTGTTGGGGTTTTTTTGTTTTGTTTTGTCCTCTTTCCCTTAGAAAAAGGCAAATGCATATCTTTCTACTTCACAGGGAAGTGCCTGTTCATGTCTGGTCTAAGTAATGAACAGCTGAACCATATGGATGATCACACCTTGCCACATAAATACGGGATTGGATTTACAAACATGGTTGAAAGGACAACACCTGGAAGCAAAGACCTCTCCAGGTAGGATGACAAGGGGGAATATCTTGTGTGTTCATGAATTAATAGTTGTGATTATAACTTTGAGTACTTTCTCTTATAGCAAAGAGTTTCGGGAAGGAGGGCGAATTCTGATGCAGAAGTTACAAAAGTACAAACCTCGTATAGCAGCTTTCAATGGAAAATGTGAGAACCTTGATTTTTCAATTAATTTGTTCTGTCAGTATCTCTATTTTTTTGTTTCTTGTGTCCACTTATCCTATCTTCTTTTAATTTTAGGTATTTATGAAATTTTTAGTAAAGAAGTTTTTGGAATAAAAGTTAAGAACTTGGAATTTGGACTGCAGCCACACAAGGTGCCAGATACAGAAACTGTAAGTATTGGTACTGAGAAACAAAACTGTAAGTATTGGTACTGAGAAACAAAACCAAGGCACTCCATTTTTGTTATTTCAAAACCAACAAAGTCTCAGGACTTATACACACTTATGATGTCAGTTTGCCCAAAGTACAAGGGGTGTGAAAGGCTTTTTACTTAAAGGGGAACAGTGCAATTTTCAGATGCACAGATTGCACACAGGTGCATTTTAATGCATCTTCTTCAGACGTGCAGACTGTATTTGGGAAATGGTGTATTGTGGTTAGTAGGCTAGCTCATTCTCTCAGGACTATCTAAAATACAAATAAAACATACCTGTTTTTATGATACCTGTCATCTATTTTCATCTGATTCTGTGTGCAGTTCCCTGTATGTTTGTATTACTGAATCTTGATACTGAACTTGACCATGGTGGTAGTAGTGCTACAGTGGGGGAGAAAAACAGTTAAGTCCATCGTTAGGCTCGTTAGGCTATTACATGCTGCTGCTGCAGCACTGCTGAGTTTAGACATGGCCAAGCACTTCCATCAGACTCAGACCTGTTTTTATGATACCTGTCATCTATTTTCATCTGATTCTGCGTGCAATTCCCTGTATGTTTGTATTACTGAATCTTGATACTGAACTTGACCATGGTGGTAGTAGTGCTACAGTGGGGGAGAAAAACAGTTAAGTCCATCGTTAGGCTCGTTAGGCTATTACATGCTGCTGCTGCAGCACTGCTGAGTTTAGACATGGCCAAGCACTTCCATCAGACTCAGTCGTCTTAAAACTGCTTTGCAGCTTGAAATTAAATTGGATACTTAAGATAAAACAAACAGTTTGATGCAGAGTGCATTAGTCATAGACATCAAGTGCTGGAAGATATCTCAAGAGGTCAGCTATTTATCATCACAAACAGGTTTGTTTAACCCGTTCTTATAAACAGGTTAAGACAAAGGCTGCCAGCACTGCCTGCCAAGGTAACTTATTCCAAAGTGTTGTTACCTTGTCACTTCAAAAGTTTAGGTTGTTCTTATTTCTATCCCAAATTACTAGTGCTGCAAGCTTAAGCTCGTCTTAAGCTGTCCTTCTCTAAAGGTGAAGTGTTGCCATCAGAGCCTGAAGAGCTGTTGGTGGTAAAGTAAGTGCTGCTAAAGTAGCTCTTACTTCCACAGTAGATGTATTTGTAAGAAAGAGAAATAATCCTCTTTACTAGTACTTGTTCATAAATACTGCATGGTAATAAAAGTATTGGATACAGTTCCTTTTTCCTGAACTAACTTTATGTCGTTAGTTAGGGCTGTTGGCAGAGAGAGAGAACCTTAAATTGCCTTCAGCCATGCTAACTCCAGAGTTTCAAACCCTGGCAAGTGTGATGCAGACACGCTTGGCCAAGAAGCCAGGCTAATTACCGTGTGATGGCTCCCTCACTGGTTTGAGGTGTTTGCATGCTGTCACGTCCTCCTCTGGGTTTTCTGGCTCAGAGCTCCACTTGCTCACGGAGCTCTGGAGTGTAACTCCAGAGTTTCAAACCCTGGCAAGTGTGATGCAGACACACTTGGCCAAGAAGCCAGGCTAATTAACGTGTGATGGCTCCCTCACTGGTTTGAGGCATTTGCATGCTGTCACGTCCTCCTCTGGCTTTTCTGGCTCTGAGCTCCACTTGCTCACGGAGCTCTGGAGTGTGCTCACTCTCTGGCATACACTTGTTAAGTTGTACTTCTTGTAACACATAGGGGTACTGCGTCTCCTGCAGCACATAAACACCTGGTGAAAACTGTCCCTGCTTCAGCAGCCAATAAGCAGCTCCTCTCTTCAGGGCAAGACGTCTGTCTGGCCAAGAAAAATGAAAGGCACCTTTTATCCTCCACAACCACCTGTGGCATTAGTTGAAGTCTGTACAAAGGGTTAGAACAGTGAGCTTAGCTACTGAGTTAATTCTCAATGCACTCAATATTAACTCCTAGCTCAGGGACCAGTAATGCTATTTTTCTTGCTCTTTGCCTCAGCTCTGCTACGTTATGCCATCATCCAGTGCGAGATGTGCTCAGTTTCCTCGTGCACAAGATAAAGTTCATTATTACATAAAGCTGAAAGACTTAAGGGATCAACTGAAAGGCATTGCACCGAACACAGAGGTGCAGGAGGTGCAGTACACATTTGACTTGCAACTTGCACAAGGTATAGTGGTTATTTTGTTAATCCTTCGTTAAAATGTAGTGTAGCATACAACACAACTAGCAGTTTCCCAAGCAAAAAGGAATAAAGGATTTAAGGGGAGGAGGGAAATGTGCCATCTTCTCTGAATCATGTGGTGTAGAATTACAGATTCCACTCTCTTTATAGTACACTCTTAATTATCTAAAAGGGGAACAAGAATTATCTTCTAGAATGTCTGGCTGTTTTTTCAAGTGTTCTCTGATAAAAATGCTCTTTGATCATTTTGATTCTGAATATTAATACTTGAGGTCTTCTCTTCCTGCAGAGGATGCTAAAAAGATGGCTGTCAAAGAAGAAAAATACGATCCAGGTTATGAAGCGGCGTATGGAGGAGCTTACTGTGATCCTGCACCGTATGAAAGCGAACAGTGCAATTTCTCTTCAAATGGAAATGGTAGAGTGCAGGGCTTGGGGCATTCAGCCTGTAAGTAAATACTTCGTGGTATTAATTGCTTTTTTAAAAACCTGTATTTTATTATTTCTGTTCGCTTTAGCATCGAGCACTCCCCAATACTGTGAGGGGTCGTCCTTCGGTGACGTTCCTAACGGACAGTGGATGACACAGCCCTTTGCAGAGCAGATCCCAGAGTTCAGTGCTGGCGTGAGACGGGAAGAGGAGGGGAGCAGCGCGTAGGAGCTGTTTCTTCTCGGCTTTGCACACGTGCTGCAGTTTTAATGCAGCCAGCAAGATTGGTACCTCGGTTCTCCAACTGAAGCATTTTAATAGTATTTTATCTCCCCTAGTTATTTTATTATAGTCTGAAGTAAGTGTGTGGTAGGCTCTAATCAACGAACTAGATAATTTTAAGGAACTGTCCAAACTTTTTAAAAAAAAGTTAGCCCTTTTTTGTATATGAGTTTTATATTTAATGTATACCATTTCTTGCAGTTTTTGACAAGTTGCTTTCTCACTTGTGAAGATTTCTTTGGGGCGTTAATTTTATTCCATAAATCATAATGTAGTAGTAATGGCAGCAGTATACTTCTTACTGATGCCTCAATATTTGGGTATCTCATAATCCTTTTATATCCAAGGGGGAAAATGGGACGTGTACCCTTATCTTACATGAAATGGTGTTTTTAATCATGCACAGTTAAGCAAACTGTGCTTTTTAAGTCTGCCTTTTACCTTCTTTGAAAGTGCAGAAAGTTGTGTTCTGCAGCTGTGAGTACTGAGTATTTCCTGGGTGGGAAGAGAGAGCTCTGTCTGTTTAGTGATTGGACCATATTCAGGATTAAGGGAGTGGAGGCATCATCTCAAGTCACACCACTGGGGAGGAAAACTTGTGTTGCACAGGACAGGGCCTAAATATTCTAGCTGAGCTGTCTTAGGGTAAGGTGTCCCTACCACTCCATCTCTTTCCCCTTTAAATTCCAATGTAATGAACTGGAATTCCTTTAAAAAAAAATAAAAACAACAACAGTGGTTCTTGAATTCTGTGGCATTTACACTGTCGGTCATGGTGTGATTAATCTCCTCACCTGACCTTTAGCAGGAGACAACCCCTTTGAACAGATTACATTGCAGGGAATTGAAAGAGCACATTCCCTGTAAAAACCACGTACGGCTACATTGTTTACATCAGGTGTGATTAGTACAGGGTGAAAGAGGTTTGCTTCAGTTCTCTTCAATCTGTAGGACCTTAGAGAGTGTTCTCCTTATTCCTCTTATAAGTGAAAAATGCTAAACTAAGGGCAACTGTTCCATGAATAAGAAGTCAGCTGTAAAAACTACAGCTGTCATCATAGGAACTTGCTTGAATAATACATGGTTTTGGCCAATATTAGTGACTGAGAAAGAAATGAGATTCCATGCTTGTGCCTAACTATCATCTTCTTTCCCTCTTTCATGTGAAGAAGAGATGAAGTAAAAGCAATAAGTTGATCAAAACACTGAAGTTTTGATGATCTTATGACAGTAGGTGCTTTCAAGGTGCTACTTGAAAACCAGATACAAACAGTATCTCCACACTGGTCAGAGATTCCTGTACCGGTGTCTTTTATTCCTTTCCTCACAGCCAGTGACAGTTGTCATGCATTGAGTGTAACTAGTTAGTGGAGATTCTAATCCTGCTGTAACAGCTCTCACTGAGATCACACTGTCAACCTGTTGTGAGGCAGGCATGATGTTTACAGTTTTCTTCCCAAATTACGTGGCTTAATTCTGAGCGTCTTAAATCAAGGAGGTGTGCATTATGATTCCGATTGTGTTCATTAGCTTCAGCATAAAGCTGTTCAGTATATTGTCAAAAAGGTATAGGACTTGTCTTGTCTGTTATTTAAAGTGTACTGTATCATGTATTGCTGTTTACATGGACGTTTTCCTGCAGGTGCTCAAAGTATCTTGCATCAGGGATTTGTTACAATTCCATTTTATTTTCAACAAAATTAGAAGCATGTAATTAGCACTGCTGAGTATGTAGCACAGTAGGATATAACTACTGTAAGGCTCTCCTGTTTGATTGGAAGGGAAAGGTCTCTTCTTTAACGGGGTCACCTACTAGGGTATCTAGGTATAAAATACAGTTAAGTGTACAATGACCGTTTCACTAAATATTGCAATTCTATGTGTACTCCCTCAGAACTGGTGCTCTTTTCATGACAGTAATACAGAAGTTCTTAATCTGTCTTAAATCTATCAATGTTTCACAATAAAATCAGGAACTGTATTGCAGTGTCTTAGAATTGCTTTTGCGTCTTGCTCCCAGGGGTCTGAACGCACTACAGGATACGTAACACACAGAAACACTGCAAAACACAGTCACCACCCAACAGAATTCTACTCATTAAAATGCTGTGTAAATATTCATTTTGGGCTGTTTAATGTGGGCTAGACAACTGGAAACACCTTGTATGTAATACTGCAAGCACTTCCTGTGTAGATTTTTCTACCAGCAGACACTGGAGTCTTACTTATAAAGATCTTATATTAAAACACATTGTCTGGCACTGAATTTCACTTCTCTAAACATTTAAGGAAAATACTTTGTCAGATAAACTTTTTTCCTCACCTTACGTGAAAATCAAGATGATCTGAATGGTTTTAACTGTCACTCCAGCCTCCCTCTCCAGCCATAAGTACAGAAAACTGATGGTCATTTATTCATATATTTAACAAATACTTAGTGTTCTAAAATTAGTTAATTATACAACACGTTGCATCTCAAACTATTACATACTGCAAAAGATAGACTGTGGATGCATTTCAGTGGTTTTGGTATCAGCTCTCAGGACGAGTTAATTTGAACTTCCCTGAAGGGTCAGGAATAAACCAGTTTTCCCAGAGATCAGTGTGAACACTGGGATAGTCCCAAGGTTTGTACCTCCCATTCCAATGAAGTAGTTTAGCTTCTTGAAGAAAATGCTCTGAGTAACGGGTGTCAGGACTCCAGCCTGCAGGGGTAGATTAAAAAAAAAATTTTTTTTTTTTAATCCAGTTTTTAATAATAGAAAACGCTCTAGAGTGAGGTAATTTCAGTTATTTTTCTGAATAAGTCTGATCAGTATGGTTTCACCTGTTAAGAGACAACTAGTTGGATGAGAGAGTAGCTTTTTTCAGCTTCCTGCCTCTAATGCTGCATCAGCAAAAAATCTCAGCAAGTTTCTTTCCTCTTAACACTTGTAACATCTTGGCATAGCTGGGGTTAAAAAAAATTCCTTTTACTATTCATTTTACTATCCCAGCTAAGCCATTATCTTTTTCCCAGGGAAATTCACCATTCCTAGGCAAAAGGTAAGTATATCCTCCAGAATGTTGAATACACAAACACTGCCAGGCGTCCTGTCTTCTTCCATTCTGTCTACTAAAAAAGCATCTGGTTTTGTTCAGCCTCTCACCAGATTCAGATCTTTCCTATATTCTTTCCATAGTTCATGACAATATAGGTTAGCTGGTCTTCAAACATGTAATTTTGTCCTTGGTATTTGTCGTTTTTACCTTTTTTTTTTTTTTTTTTTTCAATTTAAGGACTTTTAGGGTTTGGGTTTTTTTTTTTTTTTTTTTTTTTTTTTTTTTTCAAAATAATTTTAAAATGTTTTTCTGAGGTTGTGAGGAATAGTAGCGGGGATCAAAAAAAAAACAAGGGCAGTGAAAAGACTTCAGTTTTTTTTAGGGTGCAAGTAAGTTGCATTCAAAATACTGAGAGTTGGGTGATAGTACTATTCTGCTGGCATTTCTTCTCCTAAGACTTTGAAATATTTGGCAGCCTCAGATTTGAGGGTGTTGCTACTGATGGATATTTGCTGGCTTTAAGTGGATGTTCATCTGCGTATACATGAATAGTTTTAATATGTATATGTTAATAGTTTAACACATCTCACGCCTTTTTTTTTTTTTTTTTATCCAATTTAAGGACTATTAGGGTTTGGGTTTGTTTTTTTTTAATGGGGTGCAACTATTTTGTTTGCTTGACCTGTTAAGATATTTGCATAATGACACCCGTGGGGAACCCCCTCTTTCTGCCCTACCCTGAAGGAAGCAGGACTAACGAGTGCTGGGGGAAGCATCTGAGGTATAAAGTAACTTAAGGTCCTGTACTGGAATCTTACAAGCTGCTCCCTTTATTTAGTTCCAACTGCAGAGGGTGGGAAGTTAAACTTACCAAGATGCCTTATGTGCCACATCGGATTAATTGCAGAATACTTTCCATGAAACACAATCAGCATTGGCGAGGTTGCCACGCCTCCCCCAAGGGTGCTGCTGTAGAGGTTTTCCCTGTAAAAGGAGAGAAGAAAATATTCAAAACCTGAGTCAAAGAATCTTTAGTATGAAAGGCAGAAGATTAAAAATAAGTACTCTAGCAAAATTAAAATATCAGTTTGAACAGACCAGTTTTCAGCATACTCCTTCCTAATTCTGTTAATTGCTTGTATTTGCAACTCCAATTCTTGATGAGTAAATTGTTGCTACCAAGCAAAATGGGAGTCAGACCTAACATGAAGGCAATCACTTCTACACACCACATACAACCTAGAAGGCTGACAAAGTTTACAGTAGGAAAAAAGCTGTTAAGATAAAGGAATCAAACATACTTTAGTCTGGTTTCTAAAGAAAATGTACATGTTTCCATGTGTTTAATTCCCTCTTTCTTCCCTTTCCCCCCAGCTTTTAGACCCATAAATTAACTTCAGATTTTGCCAAAGTCTAGTTAGTATAAACTAACGTCTAAAGGATATCAGTATCCTATTAATTTTGTGATAAATCCAGGGCTAGACAAAGCCAAATAACTACAAGGAGGGGAATTAGAAGGTAGCAGCTGAATGTCTGGTCACAGTGTGCTTCAGGCCTCCTGGACAGCCAGTCAGCACATGGGCAAAGTCACTCCAGCTATGGGACACCATGTCACACGCCCACCCAACAAGGAGAAAACCCAGTCAGTACCAGGAAATGCTTAGAGGACACAGAATAAAAAAAATCATAACCTTCCCCCAAAACTGGGTTTTAACTGCTAAGCAACTTAGTTCACTGTCATTTCAAAAATCCAGCTAAAAGGAACACGATTGTGTTACGAAGGTATAAAATCAACTTTATAGATTAAATTTGTGGTAATATTCATGGAGCTTTTTCAAACTCTTAAAAAACACAGCAATAGCTTGTCAGGATCTGTTGCATAAGCAGAGTAAGAGAAAGTACATTTGGCTCTTCACTCGTTCACATGCTTATCATTTGTGTTTCTCCTCTGTTCATTTCTGAAACAAACAAGTAATGGACACAGTCCAATAGCACAAGCTATTCAGTTTCAGTTTAGCCTTACTAAATTTAAACTTAACCCTTTGCAGAGGAAGAAAGCAAATGTCAAGTTTGCAAATACAGGTTAACACTGAACTAACCAAAAAAACAATGAACAGTGATTGTTTCACTGTCATGACTTATTCATGGTCAATGCCAAAAAGATACTTTTCATGTCAAATTTCATTCTTCTATAAAAGAAGTGGTTTATATTGGTATTTAAGAAATATGGTATCCAATTATAGTTTGGCTGACATTACAATAGGAAAGACTCCACACAAACAAGGGAACATTCCTCCTTTTTTATTCAGCCTCTGGAAGATCTCAAGTGGCTTGGTCCCGAGAAAGGTTGGTCATCTGAAACAAGAACCACGTGTTTTCAGTGTTCCCTCAAGATTAAGTGTGGTTTGTGATTAAATATGGGACTAAAATGCCAGGTGGCCGTTTCCCGGTACACGATTCATCAGATTTAAGCAAATGGAAATTCTGGAACATGAGTGAGTTCCCTTGATAAGATCTCAAAGAAAGACTGCTTGGAGTTAAAAAACTTTTAAGAGCTTTTAAACAGAAAAGGAAACTGTAAAACGAGTATTACGAGTAAAGTGCAAGGCTAGATTTCCACACATACTCTACATTTCTTTGCATCCACTTTTCCAGCTGCTTTGTAATCCGTTGATGTTTCCATTCAGTCATGTTAGCAACAATTACCCCAGGGTTAAAGGAGCAGGTGCTGGGGCTGATACCAAGATCTCTAATTGCTTGCTTTCTGTAGTCCAGGAATCCCATGTATGTGTTCTAAGAAATAAAAAAAGTAGGTTTATCCCCTATGAATCTCTATAAATGCATTGCTCTATCACTAACATGGAGAGTAAATATGTGCTCCCAAAGCTGAGTTTCTAGAGGACAGGTGCCCGTCTTGATTTCCATATGACACAAGGCTGAAAAGCAGGATACTTCCAGCTACTCAATTACTTTTTCCCCATTGTATTGTTCCATGAGAGTTTCATAAGTCTCTTCCCTCACCATGTGTTTGTCTCTCTCTAGCTCACTAAATGATGTAGCATCCCGGTTGTGAAGCTAGAGGGACTCACTGACTCACTAGGGAACTCGGCTCAGGAATTAGCCTTTAAACCTGTTTTCCTGAGTTTTGTTCCCATTTTGACTACTAGAAATCATATAGTCTGTCTTCATTAGATGTTCCATTAAGTGCTCAAGATCTGCTGATAGCAAAATACCAAACAATTCAGTAGAATCCAAAGATCAATAGAGATTTAAATTATTACAGGAAACAACTCTGCATAACACCATATCATTACAGAGTTACGAAAAAAATTACCTGTAAAACTTAATTACCTGTAAAACTATTACAAAATTATAAATAATAATAAAAAAAACCCCTCACTTTGGGGAAAGTGTATAAAATCATATTACATTTGTGGGTAAGTACATTCCTGATTAGAATCCCAAGATGGCATCTTACCTGCATCCCCACACTTCTAACTATTTCATGTGTAGAAGGCAGATCACAATCATCTGAAAAAGCTGCGGCATGTCCAGGAGCTAACTTAGTGTCGTAGAGCTCTTGGATGTCACCTGATTGCAGAAAGATCAAAAGCATGAGGAAACCTACTTCACTGCTACAGAGTCGACAGGATAACTTCTGTTCTCATATATGTTACTTACCAACATACCAATTTTAGGGGATAGCCTAGATATTAATGAAGGCTGAATTTTGTAATATGGGACAATTTTCAAATTTGAGTCCTGTACTTGGAGGTCTAACGTCTGTCTCTAGACATTATCATCAGTATTCAATACATCCACATTCTGATCTGAATGTCCAAAATCAGCTATGGCACAAGCTGATTACCCTGTTAAGAAGCCTGGTTACAAAGTTCTGCATTCACAGAGCTTGCCTTTGGGAGAGGGAGGACACAGGTG